CTCAAAGTTCTGTGCTTTAGTTCCCCCCACTATAAAACTCAGAGAAGAGTTTAAACTGCATATCTCTGAATACTCTTCCAGATCTGAAATTCTATTTATACTTTCTATAATGACTATAGAGGTGTACCATTTGTTCTAAATATAGATCTGGTCATGATTATTATTTGAGGTTGGCCGATGAGGAACATAATCCCTATGGAAAACATGTTACAGTATTATTTTCAGAAATTTGGGGCTACTACAGTATGCAAGAAAGTCATTCGACTAGCACGTTTGAAGTAGCATAGACAATGACCAGAAAACACAGACTTCACAATGCAAGAATGCAAAGTTTATTTTCTTAAATAAAATACTATATTCATATCTATACAAATAATTATTACAACCATTAAAATGTTACATTTAACAATAAAAATTTCAAAACTTTAAACAAGAGCATGGTTCAGAATATTCACACCCTAATACAATGCATTTGTAAAAAGATGTCAAAATAAACAGAACCTATTCTTATTTACAACTGTAGGACAATCCTGATCATATTATACATATCTGCTCTGGATTTCATTACAAAACAGATTAGTTTCCATTAGAATTATAAACCAGGTGATTTACAGTAATAGGACATAGTGCACAGCAGACACTGCTGTCAGGAGAACAGATACAAACATTACACTACTGAAAGCATTAAAATCAGGTTTTTTTCTGGTGACTGCCCTACAGTAAGCTTCTCACCCAGTGTATGTATAAATAATCTGTGAAGGTAATTATGTTCTCAGATTTTTCAACTTTTTGTTTTTACCAAAATGAAAATTTTATATATATATTCTGCTGAAAGTGGAAGCAAACCTTTTCTTCACAGTAACACAACTGCAGCATCTTAAGCAACACTGTCTGGTCCCTTTCTTCTTGGAAGATCAACAGTTAACTCCCCTTAAAAGTTACCATTCTAGTCAAGTCCAGTGCCTCGGTGACCTCATAGATGAGTCATGGTTTTAAGATTCTGGGAGATGGGAGGACTGAGAAGTCTCATAAAAGAAGGGACTTGGGTGGCTCACACTTTTAAGTTTCTATGACATAGTACGGTGTATGGCTGTATACACAACTGAGAACCAAAAACATTTTTAATTAAAATTTTTTAATTTTTAAATTACAAAGAGTTTTTGTCTATGTTTATGAAACCAGTAGTAACAGATTATACAGTCATCCAAAATAACACCGATTTGGATATTATGTCCAATCATTTCAACCCAAGTTGGCTAATGTTTACAAAGCATCTAACCACACACATGTGCCAGGAAATATTTACAGTTGATGGGGTTTGTGCAAATCTAGAAATAAGGATGATGAATGACCACCACATAAAAGCTCTGAATTTAAAAGGAGTCTTGCTACTAACTAGTATTAATAAGCTGTTTTTTTTTGTTTTTTTTGTTTTTTTTTTACAAGATAAGCTTCAAAGATGGCTCAGAGAATAAGGCAACAGTGAGAAGCATCAGCTGTCCTCGTCTTCTAGGAGGTGTCTGATCACTCAGCATGTACCATCCCAGCTGGTCCTCTGTGATAACAGAGTGGGTGATATGTTCCAATGACTGGTCCAAAGACCAGAGGCACAGTTTCAGGAAAGTGCAGAACCCGGGTAGAGGCATGTGGACACAGCGTGGACCTGTGTCCAACTGGGTCCTAACCCTTCTTGCCAGTGTACTGGAGTGCTTCTAGCTAAAGTTGGTGTCCCACCCACAGACTCTAGCAGAAACACTCTCTAGGTCTCACTCTAGCAGAAACCTACAAAGGAAGAGTAGAATACAGAGAGAACATACGTAAGCCAAAAAAGGGACCCTTAGCTGAACACTGGGGAAGGAAAACTAGTACCATTCAGCCAAACAGACATCTCTAGAAGTAACTAACCTCTGCCTTTAATTTGCATACAGGTGTTAAAATCACTGGCTCCAGCTTAACTCCACACTGGTTGGTCTGGTCCTTGGCTATTTTTGTTGCCTTCTGGATCTACACGGTCACAAGGCAGCATCTCCAGGCACAGACAACATTTACGTAAATGACAGAACTACAACGGTGACTCCCAGCATCCCAGGAATATCAACCCAAAGCCATTTCATTTGGGTTACCACCTTTGCCCTTTCTTCCTTCCTCCATGGGGGAGCAGGGACAAGTTCACCAAGCCGAGGAAGAGAGTTTTACATGGCAAACTGAAATATTTTAAATCAATTTTGAAAAATTTTGTTTTGAGAAAGTGTCCCCCTTAAGAGACCAGGAGGCAGGGTGGTTTCCAAAGTCAGAAATTAGAAATGACTGATTTGGGAGTGTGATTCACCACCACAAGCTTATCTATTAGACAGTGGGCCCAATAAATGTTTTGAGGCAAAGGAGCAATCATCTTAAGACAATGCCAGGTTCCCTGCCACCTATTTGATAAAGAATAGATGGAAGAAAATAAGAGCCTAAGTACCTATGTATCAAAGGGAGATTAAAGCTAAGAAGACACATATATTAATAACTTTTCACATTTTCTCAAATTTTTTTTTTACTCCCATTAAAACGTATTTCTGGGACCAGCAGTTAGTGTAATGGCTATGTCTCTGGACTCCCATGTAGTTGACCATGGTTCGAATCCCAGACCCGGTGGCTTAAACTCATGCCGGGTGCGTGTGCATGTGTGCCCAAGATCCCGAGAGGAGAATGGAGGAGAAGGGATTGCAGCGTGGCCATACCCCCAGGGGGGTGATTTCTCACTTTCTGTCTCTCTGTCTCTCTCTGTCTTTCCGGCGAGCGCATGCACCCTATAGCAAAAACCTCTCAAACAAACAAACAAAAAACAAATAAACGTATTTCCACTTTTTTTTGGTGTATAAGTTTTAGCCTCTCCATGAAATGGCTAACATTAGAAGGCAAGAGCAAGGCAAATAAATTATTTTTAAAATGCTTAAATAATTTTTATTTTAAGAAAGCTGATTTTAAAAAGTTGATCTTAATCACAGGTCAACCTAACCCTGATATATGACTGGAAGTTGCTACAAAAGAATATTCCCTCCCTTCTCTTTCCATAGTTTTGATACGTTAAAGTTTATAAATCATGATCACCGAAGAATACTCACACCTTACTTGTAAAAAGGGTTCTAGCTCTGACACTCCAAAAGGTCTTACAATGAAAATAAAATTCCCTCAAGTGGTATAAAACAATATATAAGACTTGCCAAAGCAACCTGTATTTTCAAAACCAGAAAAGAAATGATGTCAAAGTGGCTTTCTCTCTGACTAACACACTGTAAGTTTATATGTGAAAAAGCGATCTGGTGCTGGCCCTGCAGTGCAGTAGTTCAGTGCTGGGCAGAGAGAGCCAGATCCCACATGGCCGGCCTTGGTTAAAATCTCAGCCCAGTGGCTTGAAAAATATTCCAGGCATGTGCATATGTGTCCAGGATCCTGCTGGGGTGGGATGGAGAAATGGAGGAGCAAAGGATGACTGCATGACCAGGCCCACTGTGGGCTGCTCTCTCTCACTCTCTCCCCCCTCTGACGTGACAAAAAAATCTTTTAAAAAAGAAAAAGAAGAGATATATGGATTTTTTCACTTCATTTGAAGTTATAGTCAAATGATGAAAGAAACCACTTTCTGTAACTGATTCTATGTGATCAATAATGCTAAGAGACAGAAAGGGAAGTGATGCAGTCAACGTTCTCCCGTATGACTCAGACATAACTGTGCATTCCCAGAAGTATCAAGTTATTAGTAGAAATGGCTTTATTTTCTATACTTGTATGTTGTCAAAGCAAGACTATTGATTATAACCAAAATGTAGTATATTTTCTGCCATTCCTTTACCAACATGTGTATCTAGATATCACTAGACACTGTATAACAAATACCCTCCTAGCAGTCATGTATGCCATTGGTAAATCCCATGTATTTGTACTTCTAGATCAAATAAGATTTCAGCACTGAGCCTATACATGAAATGCTCTCTCATACATACATGCACATGTCTGTGGGATAATTAGAGTTACATGATACCAGGCGCCCATTGATGTGTAGATGGTCACATCTTTCTTCAGATGGTCAAATAAGCCTTACTGAGAATCATTCAAAGTCAAAGTGTTATATTCTTGGAATGAAAGCTCCAAGATATGCAAATGCTATCTCTGATCACAGAGGAACAGAAATATACAATCAATGCAACAGAAATATCTGAAAGGAGCAGACATTAAGGCCTCTGCACTGCAAGATTTAACCCAAACTCCTCTTTTGCTTATTATCTAAATTTGAATAAGATCTAGTAGTCCCTGGTCCTTTAGCCACTGTGGTATGTGTATGTGGGAAAGACGCACAGAGAAAGAGATACTGAGAGACAGAGACAAAGAAGAGAGGAAGGAGAGGAACAGCCAAACACAGAAATTGGGCAATTGAAACTGAGATTTTGGATGTTTCAAGCTACCTGAAAATTTTCTGAATGTTAAACGGTTAAGATTCAATTAAGTGAATTAAAAAGCAAGTTATAGTTCTCATTTTTTCCTCAATAAGAAGTTTTAACTGCTGGGAACCAGCAATTAGCGTAATGGCTATGTTGCTGGACTCCCATGTAGTCGACCGCGGTTCGCATCCCGGACCCGGTGGCTTAAAACTCACTCTGGGCGCGTGTGCATGTGTGCCCAAGATCCCAAGAGGAGAATGGAGGAGAAGGAATTACAGCATGGCCATCCCCCCTAGGGGGTGATTTCTTGCTTTCTGTCTCTATGTCTCTGTCTGGCGAGCGCACGTGCCCTATAGCGAAAACCTCTCAAAAAAAAAAAAAAGTTTTAACTGCTGTGTTTAGCTGTTGTCTTGTTCATGAAACTCTATTTTTCCCCAAGACCATATCGAAGGGAGAAAACAAAAGTTTCTCTTGTTTATCATATCTTTGTTTTCTTTTCTTCCCTCCAGGAGGTTGCTATAGTTGGTAGCAGAAACAGGAAAATTGGGTAAGAACAGCTGAAGAGGCCCAGTGGACCCTTTTGGGGAGTCTTTACATGAGGTATTCACTGGAGTGAACTGCTCTGCCCAAGCCTTAGAAGGCAGAAAACATAAGTGCTGATCCTTGAGCACCTTGTTAGCAGAGCGGATAGAGCAATATTCACACATCTTTTCCACCCCTCCCACTTTTGGTGAATACAACAAAAAATAATGGGCTTGGTGGGTTTGAGAAAATGAGTATACACAGTTGTTTCCTTAGTGTTCTCAGTATGTGTTTTAAATTTTATTATGAACTCCAGTGGAGCTTTTAAAATCCTTATCTACATCAAGTTTTTATGTGCGTTAGCAGGTCTCAGGCCTCAATTTCCCATTTACGGATGGCAGACTTTTTTTTTTTTTTTTTTTTTTTGCCAGCATGTGCATGAGTTTGCTGAAGAGAGGCGGGGGCAAGGGTTTGAGGTGGGGGACTTCCGGGGTACTATGAGTGAGAAAGCACATTCCCCATGGGGGATGGTCACCCCACAATCTCTTCTCCATTTCATTTCTCCTTTAAGGATTGTGGGCATCCATGCACATGTCACCAGGTCCGGGACTCAAATCGTGCACTTAACCACGTGGGGTCTAGCCACCTTAACCACTGTCACTGCCTGGCCCAGCCGGCCTATTTTAAAGGGCCAGCATGTAGTTTAAAATCTGCCTGTGTACACACACTCGCTCACACACGGACATATATAAAGACAATATATTTTAAGCACCATTTCACATTTACCATCAAGAAAAATAAGGAACAAATTCATCCTCTGATTATAATTGTTATAAAGGATAATTCAATATATAATACCATATTTAAAATATAAATATCAATAAATGAAAATACTGACAGAGCTTAAAACTGTTCAGAAATATTTTAAAAGTAAGGCTCAAATGAAGGTGTAGATTCCAAACATACTATTTACTGATTGGTCCTAATATTGAAATGTGTGAAAAATAATTTATTTCATGATCTAATGAATAGAACAAAGAGAGAATACTAAATCAATATGCAACTGAAAGAACACCAATTGTTAACTGAACCCACGAAACACTCCACGACATAACTGCTTTTATCCTTACAGCCTGACGCAAAATGCAAGAACAAAATGAAGAACATTTATGTAATTTATTTTTTAGATTTCTATTTTTAAGGCTAACTGTCTAAGGAAGACCTTTGCTTTAAAGGATCTTGGCACATTAAAGGACAACAGAGCTCTCTAACTTGAAGAACGAGAACATGAAATTCCAGTAATTTATGAATTGTGATAATTAAGAAAAAAACCCTCTACCTAAACTAAACCTTCAGAGTAAAGGCTGATTAAACTATTCATTTATTTACTAACTGATTGATTTTAACCATGGGCATTCAATCCAACACAATTCAACATCTTCCACGAGTAAAAAAACTGTTCTAGATGTTGACATTAACCGGTATTTTGTTAGGACCTACTGTGTTATCAAACTGCCTATTCTTTTGGATAGCAACTCAACTATCTCTACCTATTTTACAAATTATCAACAATCAAGTTGAAAATCTAGGTTTCTTTCAACTACCCAGCACATGCTGAGATAATCATTCCAATTTCTAGTTGATTCGTACTGAGGGAATACAAGATTACAAACTAAATCTGAAAAGGGAAATCTGCTTAGGAAATAAAAAAGCACACCATGCACTTAAACATCAAATATCATTTGTTTTTGACAATTCAGAATCTGCATCATCTCTGATATGGCTCCCCTACATTCAGAAGATAACTAAAAACTGATTATATAAAGGCCCCTCCCACACACGCACACGTGCACACACACACACACACACACACACACGATCGTTCCGTTAATGTACATGGATGTCTCACCCATTACCTTCACATTTAGTTTATCATTATTTAGACAGCTGAACTGCAATCATGACCTAGAATATGGCTTATGTTATGGGCAGGTCTGTTTGAGGACTGCTTGGAAGAGTCAGAGGCAGAGGAGTTTGCTATTGTGAGCAAAGGTGACATTGCTGAGCCATCGGGAAAAAAAAGGGAAGAGCTGTCGCTATTTCTGGAAACAAAGAGGTCATGTTAAAATTGGACAAGTGAGAGTTGGTCATGTGCATTGGTGGCATATCAGGGAGAAGAGGAAAACTTGGCTGAGCAAAACCAACAGGTCTGGGAGGAGACAAAATTGATCCAAATCGGTTATTCAAACTTCCACTGTTTACCTTCTCTGTGCTAGGATTTGAGAACATCTGATTAGAAAAATAGGGGATTGAAATATCATTGGACAGTGTAGGATGGGCAGGAGAGTAGGGAGGATAGAAGGAAGGTAGGGTATTTTGGGGATCTACTGGGATGAGGGCAGGAGTTCGAGTGGCACTAGGCTGAGTAACCTGTGGAATGAAAGAAGTGTTAGCATTTATTGGTGGATTCATGCCACCCTCGGGAATAAAAGGAAAACCAAAATTTTGTGATAGAGTATGCTGGTCAGGACCTGAATTATCATTAGGTACTTGTGGGCTATCAGGCATGAAACGAACGATACTTCCTCTCTTCTCTGTGGTGGGCTGTTGACGTCCAAGAATCATACTGCCACTAGTAGAGAGGGGAAGGTGGGGAAGACTCGGGTCAAAGACATTACTATGTCTTTGGTTTCCAGAACGATTCCTTTCGGGTTGACGAATTTTGGAACCACCGCTGTCCTGTAGGGGATGCCTTGATCGCTGAGGAACTGAAGAACTGGCTTGACGTACTGGGGCCCCTTGATCTGCATTCCCATGAGACACAGAAGGGTGTGGCAAAGCTGGCCTTGCAACACCATGCATGTTGGTTGTGACTGGAGGGTTCATGTGGCCCTTTGTCCCATGGCTGTCTGTAATCCTCATGGGATTGGACTTCTGTACAGAGACATTGGGACTTGTGTTTCGACCTTGAATATCTCCAGAGGAAGAAGAACTTGAAAAAGGAATATTCAAGGTGCTGTTCCTAGTGTTAATTGCACCTAAAGACATGTCACAACTTTCCCTATTCTGACTCTCACTTTCTCTCCTAATATGGACACTTTCATGAGCTGGAGGACAATTGTATTCAATAGCAGAGGATGGACCACACTGTGCATTCCTCTGATGTTCTGAAAGTGATCTCTGACTCCCAATGACCTGATCGCCAAGGTGAGGGGCAAGCAAGCTCTGCATGAAACTCTGGTGACACGCACTTTCGCTGTCTCGTGGTGGGACAGCATTTCCTGTGGGGATGCTCTGGACTGGGGGATAAGGTAATCTCTTTTGACGTTCGATTGGTGGTGGACCAGTATTCTGACTAATCCTGAAAGCCTGGGACTGCATACTCCTCAATGATGAAACGGAGTTACCTATTTCATTATTTCTTGAAGACTGTACTTCAAAGTTACTCTGGGGTTGACTAGCCCCACTTGGTTTAAATGTCTGACAATCAGAAAGGCGGATATCTGAGGCAACAGTATGGTCCACACGACCCTGCATATTATGAATAGCCAAACTCTTATTTCTGGGAACATCAAGATAGCTTCTCATTTCAAGCTGATCTGAAACTCTGGAACCCTGAATCGATATCCCCATCCTCTGCTGCTCTGAATTAGAAGACGTCTTTCCAATGAGTGCCTCAGCAGAATAACTTGAAACTCTATTTCTTTCTGGCCTGTGTGGTGTGCAGGTCATGTCTGAAGGTCTAGTCACAATACTTGGCTGAGACACCATTTGCTGCTCTAAGCCTCTTGATGTCAAAAGTCTCTGCATTGGATTATGCCCAGACACATGTTCAGAAGAAACCCCTGAACCTTGCTGTCTGCTTCCAACATCCTGCTGTTGGTGCATAATATCTTGATTGAGATGGTTCTGGGGATGATTATGGTGGTTTCGGCTAGTTGGAGGATTTTCACAGCTCTTTTCTGGCTGGGAACTTCCAAAGTGTTGCTGCATCTGTTGCTGCATCTGTTGATGGTGAGGATGTGGCTGACCACTTTTGGGTCGGGATTGGTCAGTTCCATGGTGCTTTGGCTGTAGGGAAGGGAAAGCTGAGAGGCCTGAGTGCCCTGAACAAGATTCCTCTTCTTCTGCAGCTGAACTTCCTGTTGTAGAGTTCTCTGTTGGTGGACACTATGGGGTTGAGAGTGGACAGAGCTCTCTGCATGAGGTACATGATGCTGCAGTTGATATAAATGGTGCCTCTCTCTCAACTGCCCCGCTTGCTGCAGCTGCTGCTGCTGCGCCTGCTGCTGCGGTTGCTGCTGCTGCTGCTGCTTTATGTAGAGGTGGTTACTATGAAGGTGAGAGACTCCTTGAGCCGGAACATGCTGTTGCAAGGCCTGTAGGTGTTGACTTGCCTGGGTTTGCTGCTGCTCAGCCACCGCAGGCTGGGAACTACACTGAACTTCAGTCTGCCTCAACGTAGGGGCCACGAAGTTGTTATTAGGTGGAAATAATCGTGTTAGGCCATCTCCATGCGCTGGATTGCTAACAGGCACAACTGAATTTGAAGAATTCGGAGGGATCTGACTAACCATCATTTGAGTTTGGTCAGAAATGGTGTCTGGGGTTCGGCTCATCAGGGGTATATTTTCAAGTCTCAGGGGGGCTGGCTGACAATGCTTTTGACGTTTAGCTGAAGACAGTAAGAGGTCATCTTGAACAGCACGCTTAGTAGAATCTTTACGGCCTTCGTGACTTGGCTTTAAGAGTGGTTCTTGTATCTGTGAGTTTGGTATGGTGCTAGTCATAGTAGTTAACTGTTCTTGGGGATATTCTGTCATCAGAGAGGGCCCAGGAGGTTGACTGCCATAGGAGCTAGATGAAGCAGTCAGATTAACCGTTGTAGGAACAGCTGTTTGTTCTGAAGCTTGGGCTAAACCTGTACAGCTGGCCAGAGGGTGACTGATGCTGCTCTGATGGATAAGATTATTCACACTTAAACTGGTGATGCTTGGTGGCTGAGAGGTTGAAGCCTGTAAAGAGGCATTTGATGTTTTAATTCCCAGAGAACAACTTGGTTTTTCAAGGGGCCTATCCACAGTTGCTTCAATTGAATTCTGGCCATTAAATTCACTCTCTGTGGCTTCTGCCTGTCCTGTGCCATTCTCTTTAGGTAGCTGTGATTTGAAAGGCTGGTCTCCCTCTACAGAGGATGCTTCAGAAGGTTTTGAAGTAACTTCCCTTGTATCAGCCTGGATGCTAACCCTTCCCTTTTCAAGGTTCTCCTGGTCAAAAATAGCTCTAGCTGCAAGAGCTACTATGTCAGTTTGCTCTCCAAAGGTACAGCTGTCACATGTATTAGTTGCTGTGTTGCTGGTTACATCCTCTCTAGTTGTTTCAGGAAGCATGGATGCAACTGAGAAACTCCGACTACTGCCAGAGCTGGTTGACATGGGAGAGTCAGCCTGCCTACCAGCAAGCAAAGACACATTAATAGCCTCCTGATCAGCAAGGCAGGAGTGATGCTGGGGCGGCTCTCGATCATCGCTGTTCACCAGTAATAGTGCCTGTTTGGGATGCAAATCGACACTTGAATCAACTATTTTAGAATTTTCTGAAGAAAAGTCAGGATGATCCATTGGAACTGAAAGAGATGATTTCTGAGGGTCTTTTTCTGTACCAAGATCAGATAGCAATGTAGTTAAACCTTGCCCCTTTAGGAGACCTGTAGTTTGCATCGTATCTGATGCATCCTGCTCAACCCTGCAAGGTTCAGCTATGAGTTCTACCTCAGAAACACAGTCGGTACTTGTAGTGCTTGTGGTGGAGGACAAACCAGAAACCTGAGAACCCAAAAGGTGGGTATCTTCTGGAAGTGGAACCAACACACTGGTGGACATGCCGGGTTGGGCTGAATCCATCAATGCCGAACTAGCGGGTGATTTATCCTGAGATGTCTCTCGTTGCAAAATGGGGGTAGAATCTTTGGATTTTGCTGGGACCACTGCAAAATGTTCACTTGGTACGGATTCTTGAGAGGGTGAGCTGGACTCTTCTGCTGGCTTAGATTTGGATACAGACTCAGGTATTACTGATTCGGGATGTAACACGTCCAAAGGATGTGCAGCAGAAACACTTACATTATTTGCCTGGGACACAGTGACAGATGGTAGTGCAGCAGGGAGACCTTCCAGTAGCCCATTGGTACACGATGACTCTGCTGAGCCTTCTGTGCTGGGGCAGTCTAACCTGCCCGCATCTCTCACTGCATTCAGAGGACATGCTGACTTGTTAGTTGCTAAGTGTCTCTTGGCACCTGGCTTCTTACTTAGCCTTTTTGACTTCACGTTAGGTGGCATACAAGCAACGGTGTTCACTGAGGGAGCAGTCACTAGATTATAAGTACTGGGTAGTGTGGTGGAATTATCTGTTGTCATGGGAGGGGCTACAGTTGTTAATGAAACACAGCTGGCTGAGGTGACTTGACTGCTGGTGGCAGTCTGAGAATTGGCAGGCTGGCTAATAGACAGTTGTACACAGCTTTGCCCAGCCATCTGTGATATGCTTTGATTGAGGCTGGCCAAAGCACCAAACGTGTTCAGGGCAACATTGGTGTTCGGATCTTCGCTGGTGGTAGGCTGAATAATTTGCATAGGGGTTTGATTTGTAGTTCCTG